CAGGGTAAGGAAGGTGGAATGGGACATCCCTCAAGGACCGGATCCAGGTAAGAGCCTAGACTGGCAGGCAGAGCACGGCCATAGTGGGAAGAAGGGGCACGACCCCCATTCCTAGACACCATTTCTCCAGCAGGAGTGAGCGGGGACTTGCAGGGGGAAAGGGTGGGGAGAAGCCCCACAAAGCCACAATCCTCATGTCAGGGGTGGAGGAAGCAGCCCCAGTTAATGCTGCCCACCCCAAAGCTTGGCCCATCCCATTTTCCTGGCCATGCCACTGGCATAAACAGAAAGGGCATGAGTGCAATCCAGAGAGGCTTAGCAGCTAAAGACACAGCCAGATGAAGGACGAGCCAATGAACGTAGTGAAGGAGGAGGAGTGTTTTGTGAGAGGACCAGTAGCTTTTGTAGTTGGGTTAGAAGGAGAGAGAAGGAAGAAAGGGAAGAGACCAAAAGTCACAGTGTGTGGTCTATAAAAAGAGTCTGTCGTCGTAGCTAGGAGGGTGTTATGGAAGATGAGGTATTATGGTTTCTGAACAAGCGGAGATGCTGTCTGGGGATGCGGATGGGGTCAATATCACAACAGGTTACGAGATCTCCTGAGTAGGGTGCAGCTAAAAAGTCATGAAGCTTATCGGTGTCAAAGGGTGTTGCTGAGAGGCAAGCGGCTATATCCTTAAAACTACTAGCATTTAGTTCAGGGAACTGAGATATAATAGGGACCAAATCTTAATGGTTTCTCAGTGACAATTCAGGGCTGTGATTCCACACTATGCTAATGACATAAGGTTCTTTGTCCTGAATTAGAGCAGTGTTTCCCAAATGGTGTCCACGGAACCCCGGGGTTCCACAAAGTGAAAATAAGAATTCCGTGAGAAAATTCTATTACAATAACATTTAATGATTTACCGATTTTTTTGTACACATTAAATGCGATTTTTGTTTTTAAATATGGGCAATTAAACTAAATGTTGATCTCGTGACCTTGTTTAGCATTTGCTCATTATTATCCTTATTTATTTGTGGTCTACTTTTTCAGCTCCATATATAAAACTGTTATTAGGGGTTCCACAAAATTCTTTCAAGTTTAAAAGGGTTCCATGGTAAAATAAATTTGGGAAACACTGATATGAGGGGGTGCTGTGATTAAAAAAAAGCAAAAAAAAGCCACCCTAAATAATTGATTGTTTTATTAAAAACCAAGATGCATCCAGTTATTACTCAATTAAAAGTTCTCCCAAGTGATCAACAGAAAAGATTGTAACAGAAATTTAGTAGAGAGACCAGTTTTAATGTAACGTAAATAAATCATTTGTAGACAGGGAAGAGAAAGTATTTTATTGATCACATATTGTACAAATTTAAATAGATAGTTTATGTAGATAAAGATTATAAATGTGCAAAGGTGAAAGAGCTTAATTCATACATTCAGTTAAAAGAAGCCATTCAAAAAGCTGTGTTTAAGACAAGTTTCTTAGTAATATTTTTTGCCTAATATTCAAATTAAAGCTGCTATTTCACCCCATTTCACAAGATCTTTAGCTTATGTAATATTCAAAGACAGCACTCACTCTTCTCAACAATTCTCAGGAGGATGGCTCTTGGCTTGTTTGTTGGGTAGGAAAGTTGCTTAAGCATTTCCAGATAATTAACAAATTGATTAACAACAATACTTTAAAATGGCTTCTTTCAAGTAGTAACTACTAATCACATTTAGGAGTTATTTAATACTTAAAACATCTTATGAAAGTGCAGATAAAGAATCTCAGCATTACTGATTGGCTGCTCAACCACACTCCTCATTTGAAACTGCAAATAGACAACCAGGAGAATAAAAACAAAAACAAACAAAGAAGTACCATGCAAATGCAATACTGTGTTCAATGTAAACAACTAAAAACCAGGAATGTTTAAAAAATGAAATGACAAGGGAAGGAAACTGTTTCTGTGATTGTTTTGTTTAAATTTAGATAGTTAAAAGCAGCATTTTTCTTCTTGTGCCTCTCACTTCTGAGGAGAAAGTGGAAGTTTTCTACAGATGGCCTTCATTAAATTAAATACTTTTTATTTAATATAAAAATATGAAAATTGATTTTCAAAGTACTATGCATATAAAAATACTTCTAAAATTTAAATAAAGGTGCACTTTGTTAAAAAATGACATTAACATTACAATAAAATAAATGAAGAAGGATTGTTACCTACATTTCTGTTTGAGGATGAGGTAAAGGAGAACCCAGTGTTCAAATTCAGCAGGGACTATTGTGAAATTATGAGAGTTTCGGTGAGTTTTGGACATGTGTCTGGAGAGAAAAAGTCAGGGTTTAGAGATGAGTATGACAAAGTGCCAAAATTTAGACATGGCCTGAATAGGCCAGTTCAGTGCAAAAAAAAAAAACAAAACAAAAAAACCTTCAGAAAGAGACTTCAACCTGGAACTGCTGAGATGGAATTTAGCTGCAAACTTGACACCATCAAAATAGGTCTGAATAGCGATTGGGAATGGCTCTCTCATTGCAGTCAAGAATGGAGGCGAAAGAAAACAAAGTGTAGACAGCACAATTTGCAATCAACAAGGGAGAAATTCAAATATAGTTCTGAAGGGATGGACCACCCCTCATTATTTCCTAGACAGGTTCTGCCATAGAAATCCCAAGGAACATTTCATCACCAAGGCAGCTGAAAAGTTTAAGGGCCACCGCTGTGCATAGGAATGTGGGAAAAAATTCCGAGAAGAACCAAAATGAATTACGGTCTGGCAAACCTGCCACACTGTGAAAGACCATTCAGTGCAGTCCAAGAGATGAGTCAAAGGTTAGGATTATAACCTATTGGTACTGGCCTCGTGAGGAGATTCCTGATAGCAGGGGCTCTCTAAGCTAGCAGCAGAGCAAGCTTGAAAGGCCGACACAAATTCAGACTAGAAATAAAATGTGAATTGATACAGATTTTAACAATGAAGCTAATTATCTATTTGGACCACTTGCATAGGAATATGATGGATTCTTCATGATCTGGAGTATTTAAAATCAAACTGGGATTGGTTGATCTTGGGGGAAAAGAGATGCTAATTTCAAACAGAAATTATAGGCTCAATGCAGGAATCAGTAGCTGGGGTTCTTTGGTTTGTATTCTCCAGCAGGACCAACTAGAGGATGACAATGGAAAAGAATAGTTATGAACAGATATAAGTATCAAATAATATTCACAGATGCCACCACAGGGCGTGGTAGAGGATGTAACATTCAGTGCTGTGGCTGCATCAGTGGATCGGAAGCACCAATACTTCAAACAGTGCAAGTTGTGGGAAGGAACGGACTGAAAATCCTCCCAGAATCAGAGGATGGCTGGTATTTGTCCCCACTAAGGCGCTGATAATACCTGTCATTAGGAGCACCACAGCTTAGCTGCATTAAGCAACCAGGATGAACAAGGGTCAGAAGAAACAACTCCATACTGCGGTTCCTTGAGATGCAATGCAGATGTCATATTCCAAGTAGGTTTGTGTTTGCACCTTGTGAGCTGGAGACTTTTGCCTAGGAGTACCCGTAGAGGAGTGGCATTCATACCTTCTGCCGATAGCCCCAAAATTCATCTGAGAGGGCAACTGCACCTCAGACTTGGCCATAACTGACCATGGAGGAAGTCATATTTGGCCAGCCGGGCTCACCAAATCACAGTCCTCATCTGAAGGGATGATGAGGTGCATCTCATTCTGCCTAGGAGGTCTAGGCGCTTCACATCTCTGTCCTCAAGGACAGGACTTGAATCTGCCCTGTTTGGGCCCTGTTGTTCACTACCATGACCACAAGGCATTTAGTGGTCGGATGAGTCTAAAACTCTTCCTATCTCTGTATTGGGACAAAAAAAGTGTTTTTCCAAGCACTTGGCTACTGGGGGTACTCAGGCTGGTGTACCCTAACGAGCCCTCACAGGCCTGAGAAGTACGTCATTGATCAGGAGATACACTCTCAAAGGGATAAAGAAATGGAGAAACTCCACAAAGTTTACAAGTTATTCTGGAGAAGTTCTCCCTGAACACTCTGGTAACAGGCCTTCAATCCACAAAGTTTACAAGTTATTCTGGAGACGTTCTCCCTGAACACCCTGGTAACAGGCCGTCAAGTTCTCCAGGATGGGAGGGGAGGACGAACCAGACAATACTGCTGTTTTGCGGATCAAAGGCAGGTCTCGTTCCCAACCCAGGGCTTCCAGACAAGGACACTCCAGTGGCTCCGCAGACAAGGGAAATGCAGATATCTGAACCCACGTCTAATCCGCAGCCTCCAATGAGGCATAGACGGGGTTCTCAGTCTTATCTTCAACAATAAGCAAGGCCTCCATGAATGAGGAGCCACCCATTGGGCCCAAGATGGCCGCTGGGGTGGGTAATTCACGAGTGGCAAGTAGGGACGTAAAACCCCGTTTATGAATTAACAGGTTAAACTTAACAATTAACTGGTTGGCCAATTAAACAGGAGTAGTGGGGCACTCTAGCCCAGCTGGGCTAGAGCACCCCCGGCAGCTGGGCTAGGGTGTATTAACCACTAACATCCCCAGCGGCACATAGGCGCCGGACCAGTGACCTCCATCTTGGCTCGAGGTGCCAAGGCCTGGTAGCTGCAGTGGTCCACCAATGGCTCCCAGACTCCCTCAAGTGAAATGTAGTGGGAGGATGAGGAGGCCTGGGGCCTCAGAAACATGGGAAGGGGGTTTTGCTGCCCAAGAAAGGCCTCAGTACTAGGTCAGGCCTCAAGGCTTACTCAAGCAGGCACCGCTTAAGGTGACGGTCCCCTGCCACCGAAGTCTGCTTTTTGAACGATCTGCAGACCGGACACCGCTCCTTCAGGCAGGCCTCTCCAAGGCCCAGCATTTACACGTACATGGGGAAACACCAGTGAATGTGTACACCTAGAAGTGAGTAAAACAGGGATAGTTACATTCAGAAAAGATTCCTGAGAAAGCGACAGCTCCGTTCAGCTTTGGATCCAGTTGCGGAGAACATGGAAGCTGCGCTGCTTGAGTAGCTGCGCTACTTACAGTCTGAACCAGGACAAAACGTTGGAGAACTTAGGGAATAAATACTCAGACTGCTCTGTCTGCAGGTGGAAGGGCTTCAAGCTTTCCCAGGTTACATTTTATTTATTCTCTGATGTTCATATCCTTGGCTTTCCTTCCCTTTCCTGCTGTATATGCATCCTGTTTGCTGCAGATCCAGTGTGCATGTGAAGAGCACCTTGAAGATCCAACAAAGGCAGGACTCAGATACGCACAGTCTCCTCCGCCTTTAATATCAAACCTGCAACACAAAAGCCAGGAGCTAGAATCAGGCAGGGTCTGTACAATTCCTGCCCCTCCGAGAGCTTCACATGGGTGCACCACTGCAATTAGCTATCAGGCCCTCTCTGTACTGGGAGCAAAGTGATCCCACCGCACTTCCTCCCAGGTAGAAATTGAACAAACCCGGACTAGGGAATTAATCAAAGCCAGTTTTGGAGGAGGAAAAGGAAAAGGGCAGATGGATGGAGAGGCAGCCCCAGCTTTTATTCCAGGTCGAGTTTTTTTATTCCAATTCCTGGTGATTTCTGCCCCAGTTGGGACCTGTGATCAGCTCTTTCAGACCCAGTTTCTATCCAGAGTGCCCCAAAAGGAAGGATTCCAGGGACCATTCCCACAATACGGCAAGCTCACTAGAACTTTCCCAGCATGGATGCTTCTTGGAACAGTGGCTCTCAGCCAATGTTCCCTCTAATCTTTTCCATTTATGTGTGGAATAATTGTATGGGCACTGAGACGTGTCAATGTGCACCACCAGTACAAACACAAACCTAGCTGTGGGCGCTCAGCTAATCAGCTGAGTGGTTTTGGAATCTCTCCTGAGCGGCCACACAAGTTCACAGCTTACAGGGAACACTGCTTTCAACTTTTCCAGACTACCGTATCCCTTTCAGGAGTCTGACTTGTGTGGCATACCCCAAGGTGGTATTCGCCTCACTTCAAAACTAAGTGGCTTACAAAATCAGACATAAAAAGAACGAAAGTGTCACAACTACTAGTACTGAAAAACTTTCTGATTTTTACCATATCATTATAAAATAAAATTGATTGGCATATAAATATTGTATTTATATTTCAGTATATAGTCGATCGCAGTGTTTCTTAAGCTTTTTAAGACCAAGGAACACCAAAGGATAATTTTTTTTATGCAGAACGCCAAGGGTTTTTTGTTGAGGAAAAAAAAGGGAAGGGTGAAAGTTATTGGGGGGAAAAAAAGGAACCCCTTTCAAGAGACAAGTAGGCATTGCCCTTTTAAGGCAGCCATTTTGAAACTCTTCTCCGCAGTACACTTCCAACTCCTTGCAGTACACCAGTGTGCCACGGAACACACTTTAAGAAACACTGGCCTATAGAGAGGTATAGACAAGTTAGTGTCTATAGGAAATGTTAGTTTGTATTAACTTTGCAAGTGCTTTCTATGGAGTCTGTTGTAAAACAAAGCCAATATCTAGATGAGCTAATGTACCCACAGGAAGACCTCTAGCGGAGAACCACTATCTTAGATCACCGAGATGACACTTCAACCCACGGATGTGCATGCAGATATCCGCAGCTCGTTTTTGCAGATATGGATACAAATTTTGTACCTGCACAGGGCTCCAACAATAAACATCCCAACCAGCCTTCCATGGGACTGGCTGTGAGGCTGGAGGATCTATGAGCTGTCCCTGAGCTCTGTTGGGGTCTCTCTCTGGAGTCACCTGATTCTTGAGATGCTGTGTGAAAGTGCTGGGTGAAATATGGGACTCACTCCTGGAGTTGTGACTTTGAGGGTTGTTGGGCCTGGTGGCGGCCGACGTGCCTTATACTGCAGAGCCCTCAGCGAAGCCACACTTGGAGAGGGGCTGCCAGCCCTTGCCTGCTTGGCTCCCAGGAAAGAGGCTTTGCTGCCCTGCTGCAGTGAAGCCACCTCCCCAGGAGCCAGCGGAGTGTAACTGACACCATTAACGAATATACACCCGCATATCAGTTAAACGGTTAGTCCTTGACACTCTGCCACCCCTAATTCTTGCCGTAACTTTTTGTTTTATTCTTCCGTTTTAACTGACCACGGGCAAGTGTGCAGCTGTCTGGCCTCATCCCACAAAGGCCTGAAATTATTCCTCTCTGAGCGGTATCTGGCTTTCTGCCGGAAGTGGCTGCACACTGGAAATGGCTGACTGGAGGCCTGTCAAGTTCTGGGATACAGGCCAATTCCAGGGCGACATTCCTGTATAAAAAGTGAGACTCACCAGAGGTTGAATTCAGTGCCGTTGACCCTTTTCCAGGGCTGGCCCTGCTCCCTCCTTAGGCCGAGCCAGTGGTTAAGTATTAGAAACACAAAGGGACATAAAGCAGGTGTCCTGCTTAGCTGGATACCACCCCCGACCCCCACCTGAGCATGGCAGCATATTCCATGTTTCCAAGCCCTCTTGACATACACCCAACCCCATTGGCCAGGCCCAGCAGAAGGGCTCCTCCTGTCTGGAGTTCGCTGAAGAAAGCTCAGTCATACACAGACCACTGCTGGCAACTAGCTGCCGGGCCTTCACTCCTTCGGGCCTCCCCGCAGGAGCGGGGCCAGAGCAAGAATAGAGGCCAGGCCCTGCCCCCTCCAGCCATGTTTGTCCTGCAGAGACCAGTCCTGGTCATTATCAAGCACCTATGCCCGTCTCTCTCTCTCACCTTCTCCTGCTCGCTGTCAAACACAACCAGGGAGGCCCTGAACCCAGAGCAGTTTGTTTGGCTGTTGGTCCAGTTCCCTTCGACCTCGGAGAAATAGTAGCATTTCCCTCGGTACCCGACCCAGTCGTCCAGGCACCCGGGCCCAGCAGGGGGGCCTGAAGAGCAGACCCCATCAGATCCAGGATGGCTCAAATACAGGCTTACAATTACTGGACAAGAGAAAATAACATAGTAAAAACGTGACCCTTCCAGCATCTAGGGGGAACCAGCCCCTCACAGCCAGATGCTCAGAGGGAGCTAAGAGCACCACAGAATTTGAGTCCCAGCAGTGAACTCAGCAAGGATAGAACCAACCCACGGCTCAGCACCCTGCCCAGAGAGCGAGGCCCAAACGCAGGCGGATGCCACGGCCCAATGAAACGTGGGAATTCAGAATAATCAGCGGGGATAGCTGGCTCTCTTCAGGAAAGGACACACCAGGCCCCCTTCCAAAAAAAATCCCCTCTCCCAAACAGAGTTCTGTTCCCACAAGGGGAAAAGGGCTGGAGACTCCAGGAAGTTCATGAGGTGCTTCACTCTTGTTGAGGCTTTTACATGGGAGGTGCCCAGATACTGCTGTGATGGGCAGTAGGATCAATAGGCTTTGCTTTTTAGGCTCGTTCTGGTCTAAATCAATGCTGGATTTATGCACAAACTGGCTACGTCTAGACTGGCATGATTTTCCGCAAATGCTTTTAACGGAAAACTTTTCCGTTAAAAGGATTTGTGGAAAAAAGCGTCTAGATTGGCACGGACGCTTTTCCGCAAAAGCACTTTTTCTGGAAAAGCATCCGTGCCAATCTAGACACGCTTTTGCGCAAAAAAGCCCCGATTGCCATTTTTGCGATCGGGGCTTTTTTGCGCAAAACAAATCTGAGCTGTTTACATTGGCCCTTTTGCGCAAAAGCTTTTGCACAAAAGAACTTTTGCCCGAACAGGAGCAGCATAGTATTTCCGCAAGAAGCACTGATTTCTTACATGAGATCGTCAGTGTTCTTGTGGAAATTCAAGCGGCCAGTGTAGACAGCTGGCAAGTTTTTCCGCAAAAGCATCTTCTTTTGCGGAAAAACTTGGCAGTCTAGACACAGCCACTAAGTAAGATCCAGTTTAGGGGTCCGGATTATGAGGTGCCACTAAATAGAAAAAAAATTCAAGTTTTTAGTTACATCCTTGCCTATGTACTGGTTGAGATTCAAATATCAAACTATTATTTTTATTGGGGTTGTCTTGTCTGTTAGAATAACATGCTTTTTTGGTAATGCCATGGGGCCTCTTTAAACTGGACTCCGTTTAGCACCTCAGTATGTCTCAGTTTGGCCCTGCTTCCACTGCACTCCTCACTGCAGAATTCGATTCTTGAACTGCGTTGTGATACCCCACGTAGAGCGAGTTGCTCAGCGCCCCGAGGAACAATACTGTCCTTTTGAGACAGTGAAATAAAAAGCCACAGGTGGATACCAGGCCTGAAAAATAGAGCCGGCTTATCTGAGGACAACTGGATACCACCTAGGAATTAATTTAACTCTTTACTGCAGAAGACTTGTCACATCAAAAGCAGCAGGAGACAGAGGGTTACACCATAAAAACTGCGGAAAGCCTGCCATGAAATGGAACTGTTTAGAATGATAGAATCCTAGACCACTAGACCTGGAAGAGACCTTGAGAGACATAAAGTCCAGTCCCCTGCCCTCCCAGCAGGACCCAGCTCATCCCTGACAGGTGTCTGTCCAACCTGCTCTGAAATATCTCCAAGGATGGAGATTCCGCAAGCTCCCTAGGCAATTTATTCCAGTGTGTTTAATCACCCTGACAGTTGGGAAATTTTTCCTGATGTCCAACCAAAACCTCCCTTGCTGCAGTATAAGCCCATTGCTTCTTATCCTGTCCTCAAAAGTCAAGAAGAACAATTTTTCCCCCTTCTCCTTGTGACACCCTTTTAGATACCTGAAAACTGCTCTCATGTCCCCTCTCGGTCTTTTCCTTTCCAAAATAAGCAAGCCCAATTCTTTCAGTCTTCCTTCATAGCTCATGTTCTCTTTCGTCATTCTTGTTGCTCTTCTCTGGACCCTCTCCAATTTCTCCACATCTTTCTTGAAATGTGGTGCCCAGAACTGGACACAGTGCTCCAACTGAGGTCTAACCAGTGCAGAGTAGAGTGAAAGAATGATTTCTCTTGTCTTGCTCACAACACTCCTGTTGATGCACCTCAGAATCATGTTTGCTTTTTTTGCAGCAGCATCACACTGCTGACTCATATTTAACTTGTGGTCCACTGTGACTCCTACATCCCTTTCTGCTGCACTCCTTCCTAGATAGTCGCTTCCCATTCTGTGTGTGTGAAACGGATTGCTCCTTCCGAAGTGGAGCACTTTGCATTTGTCCTTATTCTACTTCATCTTATTTACCTCAGACCATTTCTCCAGTTTATCCGGATAATTTTGAATTATGACCATATCCTCCAAAGCAGTTGCCACCCCTTCCAAGTTTGGTATCATCTGCAAACATAATAAGCATCCTCTCTGTGCCAATAGCTAAATCATTGATGAAGATATTGAACACAAATAATAGAATCCTAGAACACTAGAACTGGAAGGGACCTTGAGTGGTCATTGAGTCTAGTCCCCTGTCCTCATGGCAGGACCAACCACCATCTAGATCATCCCTGATAGATATCTATCTAACCTGCTCTTAAATATCTCCAGGGACGGAGACTCCAGAACCTCCCTAGGCAACCTCCCTATCAGAAAACTAAATTATAAACAGATTTTTTGTTAATTAAACTGATGTAAAATTCAATGTGGAGGCTGGGCCATACATTAATGCTCAGATTTAACAGCATAACCAGTCCCCTCTCCAAGCATGACCCACAGGGGCAAGTTAACAGCAGTGGGGCCTTCCCTTTGAAATTTGGCTCTTAGTTTAGGTTCTGTGCCTCAACACTTTATTTTTTCAGCAAATAACAAAGCACAAGGTAGTTGGCCCTGTACAGCTGCCTCTCCGAGAGCAAGCTCTGCTTGGGACTGACAGAGCGGCCCTTTGGGAGAAGGCGGTGACGCAACAAAATGGCAAAGCGGTCACAAATTCCTGACCTGACAGCTGCACCACTTGGCATGGGGTCTGAATTCAGTGCATGAAGCCCAACTGAGCACCATCGAGAGTCGGTATCTTACCGCCAGGAGACCTGAAGCAAGAGCTGAAAGTTTTCTGTTTAAAGCCAAGGTGGAAAGAATAAGGGACAGGGAAACAGGACACAGAAACCTGGCTGGGGATGGCTGGGACTCACCTAAGACTGCTACCAGAACACCTGGCTGGGGATGGCTGGGACTCACCTAGGACTGCTACCAGAGCTTCTACCAGAATGATCATGATCAAGCCATAGACTGAGATTGTGACTTTACTGGTCAAACATTTGCAGAACGTGATGTTCGTGACATCACCTAGGAAAGAAGAACCATTAATGATCCAGGGTACTGCTCAGTGGGAGAAGGGGGAGACACGGTATTAGTTACAATCAAACCTCAGGTGAAATTTACAAGAGAAACAGACTCAGACTTTAAGGTCGGAAGGATCCCTCATGATCAGGCCTTAGTGCTTCCTCCCCCTTCTCAGAGCCATGCGGAGCGCCCGGCAATTCAAAGAGGCCACAGCATCAGTGGCGGCCCCCCCCCTTCCACTCTTTCTAGGGTGCAGAGCTGCCCCTGACACCTTGCCCCCCCGGCCGCTGCTCATGAACTCTGGAGTAACACGTGTGGGGCCTCTCACAGCAAGTGGTGCCCCTACTCACCCCTTCTGCCTGCAGTCCCACCTACCCTGCCCTGGTGCTCTTCCCAGGGAGATAGGGTTGGGTGTGGGGCATGCTGCCCATTGGTCCAGTGGCTAACCCACCAGCGGGCCTCCAGCATAGATTCTATCTAGCTGTGCTACTGGCTCCATCTGAGTTGCTTTCAGAAAGGGTCAATCAGGGCGGGGGAAATGGCTCTGGTTGAGCATTGTCTGCCCTACAGATCCTCACTCGCCCTTCAATCACCAGTTCAGCTGCAAACCAACATTAGAACTCATGGGAGTTTCTTTGCATTTTCCCAGTATAGGTTGAACCTCTCTAGTCCGGCACTCTCTGGTCTGGCAACCTCCGTGGTCCGGCATGATTTGAATTAGTCAGATGTCCACTTATCATGGGTGTGGCCAAGTTTCCTGTGGCCCCATAAAGTTTGTTTACAGCCCCCAGTCCTGGCTCTCAGGGTTGTGTGCTGTCCTTTAGCTCTAATTTGTCCCTAAATGTCTTCTCAGAGCCCAGGAAGCAGTGGAAGTGTCGGTAACACTGCTAGACAATATTGACTTCCTGGGGTCCAGAAAATTCTCTAGTTCGGCACCAGTCAGGTCCCGAGGGTGCCAGACTAGAGAGGTTCAATCTGTACATGAACAGCTACAAAATCTGTGCCGTGACAGGAGGAAGGATTTCACAAGGCATTCCCAGGTCTCTGAACACTGCCCCAGGCCCAGCAAAATCTTGCAGCTCCCATTGGCTGGTTTCTGGCCAATAGGAGCTGCCTGTTTGTGGGACAGGCTGCAAGTGAAGTGCCCCTCCTTCCAGGCTCCCAGCAATTCAGTTCAGAGCAGCCAAAAGGCCCCTGCAGTTGCTCTGAGCACATGTGGGCGCATGAAAGGCAGGGACTCTGGCTGAGGAACCTGCTGAGCTGCTGGCTGGGAACTACCTTGCTAAGTGCCTCTCAGCCAGAGTCTGTCTCTGGCTTCTCAGCTCCTCCCTATGCCCCAACCCTCTGCTCCCCTCTTACATCCCTACCCCATATAACCCAAAACCTCTGCACCTCTGAATGGAGACCCCTTCCAAATCCTGCACCCTCTCCTACGCCCCTCCTTCAGGTCACAACCGCCTCCCAGACCTTGCACCCCAATCCCCTGCCCCCAGTCACAGCCCAAGTCTCTGCACTCTCTCCTGCACTCCTGCCCCAGGTCATGCCAACCCCCTCTCAGATCCTGCACCCACCAATCATGCACACCCATCTCCCAGTTCAGAATCCTCTTCTGGACCCTGCACTCCAGTCCCCTGCCTCATGTCACAACCCCCTCTTTCACCCCAATCCCTTACTCTAAACTCCCTTCTGCACCCAACCTCCATCCCAGACCCCCACATCCTCTCCATTAATAGCATGGAAGAGTGCGGCCCTTGACAACTTTCCAAATTCTTGGAGTGCCCCCCAAGAAAAGTGAGAAATCGGGCTCCCTTGGAGAAGCTGGATTCGGGGAGTCATACTCACCAATACAAGCACGAATCTGTCTATATAAGCCTGGAACCCACTCCCTGGGATGAGTCCACACATCAGAGCCTTGATTTCTACCGTCTTCTTTTGGATCTTGCCCGAAGTCTTCCTTCAGGCACGGTTTCTGATCCATGGGCTCCTCTCCTTGCGTCATCTCCTCACTCAGTGTGAGGTGCTGGGGACTCTCCACTGGGCTGTGGTCTGCTTCCTCTCACTGGCTGCAGGGAAGGGCCCCAGAATCAGTATCGGCTGGCGTGCTAGCAGTCAGTAGCTTCCCACCCCACCCCTGGGGCATGGTCAGAGAGCTCAGGAGCTGCAAAAGGTGCACACAGGGATCAAAATGCAGGGACCTCAGAGGTGGAGAGGAGGGACAGGTAGGCAGAAGGAAGAGGCAGGCACATGCTATGTGCCATGCTGCTGTAGCTGTATCAGTCCCAGGATCTCTCTGATCATCCAGTAAATGTCACTATTCCCCTCCCCTTCAATGCTAATGAGAGCAACATGCCCTCAAATGTCAGCTTTGCCCTGCACGTGTGCAAAAGGAGAAGGAAACCAGAACAGGTCCTAGCCAGGAAAAGAGAGGCCTGTTGCCAACACCCTCCGTCCATCCTTCTCCACTGACATCCGGTGGTCTGACAGGGGTGGATGCCAGCTGCCTCTGCAAAGCGACCCATGGTGGGTTTCAGAGACAGCTGGGTTAGTCTTTTCAGCCAAAATGACAAGGAGTCCAGGAGCACAATTTTATTAGGGCATACACTTTCAGGAGTTGC